CAGCAAGAACTGGAAGGGTGATGTAAGAACAGCTCGTGGAGGTGTTCATCACTCTGCTAACAAGCCTGAGCACAAAGATTGCTTGGTTCTGCACCATCAAAGGTTCTGCGCCATCAAAATACGGGCAAGGAGGGAGCTGGCTGTTATCCTCTCGGAGCAGCTCAGTCCTTTTGGCTTTCCGAACAGCAAAAACAATCGCTGCTCAGAAAGCACTGCGCTCCCTGCCTCTGAAGCGGCGCCCTTGTGGGCTGCTCGTGTCACACGTCACTGCTCGTTACCCAAATGCGATGTGGCAGTTTCCCGCTGAAGCTCCTGGAAGACTCGCTAGTGGTTGGGGTGGGACGTTCCCACTTGGTCTCGTGGTGCGTGGCGTTTTGTCCCTCGCATCACGAGGCTGCAGTGTTCTGGCCCAAGTGGTGCGTGGCGGCGTGACCTGGTGCCCTGGCACAGGGATGCAGCTGACTGTCCGTGCGTGCCGGCCTGAGTTTGGGTCTGTCAGGGACAAAGGTGCTCAATCCTCCTGCAAATTAGTGCGTTTTAATTAAAGTGCTGTCCTCCGGGTGGCTACTGGAAAGATTAATAATCGTTTCTTGTGGTGCTGCTGACGTAAACGTGGTGTCTTGTGTCTTTCAGATTCTTCCTTGTGGCACTTGCAGAGTAAGCTGTAAAACTGAAGGCATCGCAGTGACTGTCGGGAGTTAACCTTTCTTTTAATGATCTGCGCTTAGACATCTCGGTCTATAAATGCTTTTATAGATGTTTAAAAAAAAGGGGTTGACATTTGTGACCACTATGGGGTTATTTAAAAACACACACACACAAAACAAGTAATAAAACCTCTCCCGTCTAACATAAATGGGGCTTGTCAGGGGTCGTTTCAAAGAAGGAGTTCTAGGACTGCAGAAATACAACTTTACGTAGAACAGAATTTTAGATTGTCCTAGAACTTCCCATATTTTTGTACCTGTTCATTGAGTAATGGAGAGGAATGGAAATGTTACAGAGCTCAGCTGAAAGAAAATAAGGTCAGACAGGGATGAAAGCAAAGCTCGACTTCATGCCCCTCACGTAACTGGTATCAGTTCACTGTTGTCCCTTCCATTTGTCTGGGAGCAAAGTTTGGGTGGTAGAGACGGAATAAAATCTGTAAAGTCCTGAAAATGAGAACTGGGTTGTGTCTTTGTATTAAATGTTAACAGCACTGTTAAATAAACTAAGATTTTTGTATCTCACAGCCACTTGTGTGTTGCAGTTCTCGGTCTTTTACCTCGACAAACTGCTGGGAGCTCTGAGCTGACATCCCTCGAGTTTTGAGCACTATTATAATAGTAGAAGTGAAGCTATTTTCATCAGTTACCCACAGGTGAGACTGAAGGCCAGAATATTTGCAAAGTGCCTCTGTAGGATAGGAGTCCTCTGTGTCGCAGCCCAGATTTAGGAACCCAAATTTAGATCACTAAGGATTGGTCCTGCTGGCCCTTCTCCTGCTGCACTTCTCTGCTTTGTGATGTTTCTGCCGTGGGGCCATGCCAGCAAATTTGAATTATTTTCTTTTATTTGAATTATTTTCACGTGGGGGCAGCAGGAATGCCAGTTACCGTTTGCTGCTATTTTGCTTTGACCTGAAAGGAAAATTGAAGTTCTGTGGCATTAACACTTAGGTTTTTGTTCGTTGCTGAGCCTCCCAAAGCTGAGCTAAGTGGATTAAAGCAATGAAGCCAAACAGCTGCTTGAGCTGCAGAGAAGAAAAGGTGTTGATTATGACCTACCAACATTAATTTTGCTCTTGAATTAAGTCTTTCTGTGGTGCAGGTAAAAAGGCAGCAGCATGTAGGCCTTGCATTTTTCTAATCATGCTGCTTTACTAGCTTCTTGATGGAAACCACAGAAGGAGAGCTCCTAAAATTTCAAATTACTGTTTATGTCTCAAAGAGACTGGTATTTCTTGTTGTTGTTTGTTTTGGTGTAACTCTAAATTGCTGAAGTGTGCTCTTTCTGTTGTTTTTCACACTAAACTGCAGACTACCTGTTAGATATCACAGCAGACAGGCAGCATTAACATGTAGGGTGGCTGCAGCGTTGTGCTCAGCACTCTGCCCTGTGTCCAAGCAGCAGGAAGCTCTAGGAGGGAGAATTTCTGTTGATAGCTCCAAATTCAGCTGCTTTACAGCACTTCTAGTCAAAGCGATGGTGTGAGATTAATTTTGGTCAGGTGGAAGCAAATCTGGATGAGCCCCCAGTAAGGTTAAGCGCTGTCCAATGTGGACTTGCTAGTTTTATCTTTAATGAAAGTTTGCATTCGAGCTATTTGTAAGCGTTCTGGGAAACCTTTTGTAAACACTAATTACTTTGAATGTAAAAATATTCTTTCAAAAAAAAAGTTAAAATTTTTACTTTCTAACTTTTATGTTCTTTCTCCTTTTTTCTTTGCTTTTATTTTCCCTTAGTTTACAGAATCACAGAATTTCTAGGTTGGAAGAGACCTCAAGATCATCGAGTCCAACCTCTGACCTAACGCTAACAGTCCCCACTAAACCATATCCCTAAGCTCTACATCTAAACGTCTTTTAAAGACTTCCAGGGATGGTGACTCCACCACCTCCCTGGGCAGCCTGTTCCAGTGTCTAACAACCCTTTCGGTAAAGTAGTTCTTCCTAACATCTAACCTAAAACTCCCCTGGCGCAACTTAAGCCCATTCCCCCTCGTCCTGTCACCAGGCACGTGGGAGAATAGGCCAACCCCCACCTCACTACAGCCTCCTTTAAGGTATCTGTAGAGAGCAAAACTTGACTCAATGTAATGTAAAACTGGCACAGGCAGAAATCTCCCAAATTACAGATGTTCAAGCATATTAGATAGAGATTAGAGTGTGACTAGAGAGAAGTCTCAAACTCTTGTTATATACTTCAGTTTCTCTCCAAGGATTGAACGACTACCAAGTGGCTTGTTTTTTTTTTTTAGCAGTGACTTTAAAAAATCCAGTGACTAGAAATTGAGCAACAGCTTATTAATTACCCAGACACATAGCAAATATCACTGTTAAGGTGTACACTACGCCAAAATAAATAACATAGCTAAAGAAATCAGAGCTGCCCTCTGTGCTTTACGGACTTTGAATGCAGTCCTTCAAAAATGATGTGGAAGTAGGGTCTCTAACAACATTAGGCTTCCTGTAGGTGTTTCTTTGCTTTCTCTTTTCCCTTTTATCTTGATGCCATCTGAGGTTTGAGACCTTTATCCTCTGCTCCTTACAGGCTCAGAGGAGACGTGCAGATTAATTCATTACGTAAGGTTCATTTCCATAAGAAATGAGGCTAAAAAACTGGGCTTGAGTATACCAGGAAACGGCAAGCCCCAGGGGAAAAAACACACAAAACCAAACCACACACAATGTATGGCTCACCTTAAAAGGGATAAAAAGCAGTAAAGCAAGGCAGTGACAGGTAGCAGCCTCCTGACAAGTCTCCTTTAGAAGCAGAAGACCACAAGTATGTGGTCATGCCTCAGCTTTGTTCCTTGTTACAGCTCCATGGCTGAGGTATAAATAAATGGCTGAATACCCAAACGGCTGAAGGACCACACTTTATCTGGCACACAGTGTGCTGGGGTGTAGCCCTTGCCTTGAAGCTTCTTTCCTTCAGCAAGCCAACTCGCACCAGGATCAGAGTGCTGCTGAATGATGATAACCCAGCAGTTCTATTTCTCTTTGGGGTATTAGTATTTTTTTTAAATGACTGAACACAGTTTATATATTAAGAATTTTATATGAAAAACATGTCCAAACAGTGATTTAATTTCACAGTATAATCTAAACATATCTTAGAAATTAAAATGACGAAAAAAAGTAGTAGGAAATGAGGAAAATGAGGAAAAAAAGTAGTAGCAAGAAGTAGGAAATGGAAGTAGGAAATGAAACTATTTCCCAAGCTCTTGCAAAAAGCACAGCGACAACTAGCAGCCATCACAATTTTAGTGCAAAAAGCTTGTTTGACTCTTTCTGTACCTCTTTGAATAGGATCAGCAGTGGGAACAAAGTTTGAACAAACAAAAAACCAATGAATAGAGACAGGTCTAGTACTGGAATCTTTACATAACTCGTTAACTATCTTGCTTTTCAAATGTAGTAAAGTGAAAAACTGAATTTAATCAAGAAAAATATCTGATAGGAGTTGCATAAAACCACCTATGCATCACCTTCCACATGATATACCCCTATTTACTGTGTCTGTTCTACTCTGTGCAAAAGACTGCAAGTTGGGATAAGGTTGTGTTTTTTTTTCTCCCCTCTATAATCACTTTTACCTGCGCGTCTACTGAATTGTTACAGAACCTCATTAACACTCTTCTCAAACAAGATCAACATTCAATAAACTACAGGGAGAGGATGGGGCAAAGCCTTCCTGAAATAAAGAGGGGTTACTTACCTGCGCTTGGGTATTAGTAAGAACACTCCTGGTCCTACAGGTTTTTACTTTTGGTGTAGGTTACCTCTAGAAAAAAGCTGTGGAGATTCTTCTAGGGAGTAGAAAAGCAAGCAGCCAGCCTCTCTTCCTCTCAGAGGTACGTGTATGGCAAGCAGGAGTATGTTGAGATCAATGTAAGAATGAAATCTTCAGCTTCATTTTCACAGGAGCCGTTTACAGGAAGAATCCAGTAAAATCAAACCCTGAAAGGACCGGGTGTTTATCTAAACTTAGTTTTATATGCCACTGTAATTAAGGTCAGCGAACGGCACTTACGGCTAAAGTGACAAAGTTGCAGTGTTCTAACAGTCCTTCACATTCGTATGGCTTAACAGAAACTGTTGGCAGGTACTCTCAGCATCCTGATACGCTATTACAAAGTAAGTTTTTGAATACAAAGCTTTAAGTGAAATATTCCAAAACATGAAATCTGAAAATACAATTGACAGGTGGTGTGTAAGCTGATTTCAGCATCTTTCTGTAAGATTCATTTCTGCAGGTGGCTGTAATTTAACTTTCTTGAAACTATTTTTTTAGAAGTAGTTCTGCTAAAATTCAGAAGTTGGCGTCTCAGGGTATCCGAGGAAGGATTTCCATACAAAAGCCACAAGTATTGTACCTGAAAAGCCAGAATACAGAAAGAGCATTTATTTAAAGGACACAAGGCCACAATTCTCCAGCATCAGTTGAAAATAAATGTTATGTTAAAGTATTTGTAAAGTTACATCAGCAGGGGTTGCAGCAGCATGGAATTTCCTTTTGAAAGGGCAGAGCCAGCCGGTATTTTCGGGACACACAAACTTTTTCACAAAGAAAGCTTCAGTGGACCATGCAAGTAATCCTTATGAGCTGATAATGAAGTGTTTCTTTGGATACTGAAGGTTTCATTTCTGGGGCATATAAGCCAAAGACAGAGCAGATTTGACCAGCTGAAGCTGATGGGGGCACCTTCTGTTTTGCTATCAGGAAGGACATACAGGTGATGGTGACCAAACCTTAATTCCTCAGTAGGTGGGATAAGGCTGAGTTGGGTAGCAGTGTCTGTTTCAGTTCGTATTAGGCATTAGAAATGGTTTTAGGATAATGGGTTTTTATTTTTTTTTATTTTGTTAAGGTCATTATCATATTAGAGGTTATTCTAAATCAAAACAAATAGCAGTTAGAGATTGTAGGTTCTTCACAAGAAGGGCACTGAAATACAGAAAAAGTGGATTAAGACTTTTTTTCCCCCTCTTCTTGAAAAAACAACATATTCTGTTTCAGAAAGGAAGATGACACTGTTACTCTTGTGTTGCTCTATTTACTGCCTCTTTTCCAAAACTTTACTGTTTTACACACAGATATGGGAGCAAGCTTTGCTTGGGAAAAATGAGGAAAAAAAAGACATTGAGCCTTTTTCGTGCCATTCATCATTATATTTTCTCAGGGAGAGACTTTCTGTCAAAATTCCCAGACTAACTGCACGACAGATTGTTCTTGCATGTGAGAATGTTACTGAGCTCTCACAGCAAGCTTTTGGAAAAATCAGCTTTTCAGAGGATATTTCTCCCTTTGGGGCAGCTTCCCAGGGAATTCTCCTTCCCCATTCCCTAACTAAGCAGAACTGGTCTGAAGTCCAAAGTCCTCTGCTGTTTGCTCTTCTAAGTCTTCCACTGAACCACTGTAAGGACTACAGCCCAGGAGGCCACATTCACCACCGGTTCTTCCCTGTTTGGGAGCAAGTCTTCGAAGTCCCCAAGATGCTGATCACTTCACTGCAATTGGACTTGCAATTCTTGTTTCTTTACTAAGCTGTAAGTGTATCTTAAGTGTACTGAACCTGATGGAAACCTGAATATCCTCCCCTCTGAGCAGAAAGGTGACAGTTTCACCTGTAGCCTCCTCCCTTGCTCACCTCCTCCCTTTACATCTGCTGCTAAGTGACTTTTGTGGCATTTGTTTTCTAACCTGATGGTGAAAAAAAAGTTTCTTCTAAGGAACAATAGCAATCTTTCTGGCAACACCCATCCAAAGCAACAGTCATTGAGTCTCCTTTCATAGTGTCAGTAACTTGGCAGGATAAGCTGGCACCTGTCCAGCTAAGAGAGATTTTGTTTTACTGCTCTCACATCCAATATATCGCCACCAACTCTTCCACTCGTAGCTGCCATCTCCCTGGTACTGAAAGAGAAGCATTAGCTCTGTCACGGTCATTACTAATGGTGTGATCGTGCCTGGACAAGTGACATGAATTCCTTTGGCAGTGGAATAGAAACCGTCTTTGTTCCACCTGTACTCACTGCCTCTGTGCTCACAAGAATTTGGGACTGCCTAAGCTAAGCCATAAAAACTCGCTGACACCTCTATTCACTTCAGGAATCAGCTGTTTTAATGTTACTGAAGAATCACCTGCACCGAAACTTCAGTGAAAACATTTTGAAAAATGAGTTCTTAACTACAGTTCCAAGATTACATTCACAAATGGCTGTAAGACACTAGAAAACTCGCTTATCCTAATAGGAAACTTCCACATCCTCCTCCTCTTGTGAAAATGACAATATCGATCTTCCTCTTGTTCCCAGAATACTTTCTAAAAAAACTGTTAAAGTGATGGTTAAGAACTGGCTTACAGCTAGATCAGGGAATCCATTAACACTGAATGGCCTCAGTCTCCTAGTCCTCGCGGTATCTGCTGTGCCCATAAATGAGATCGTATCATACGTGGCACAGGCAATCTGAAGTTTCATGGTATGCTGGTCCATGCTGCTTCTGCACATGGTAGTTATTACACCACATCACAAAACCCCCTAAGTAATAGTCCTACAAGAATTTCCCCAAACAAGAACAAAGTAATTTAACCATCTAAGATGCTGATGCTGGGAAAATGAGACACAAATTAGTGTATCACTATGACTCTGTGGGTTTCTAGGAAGTCTGGAAGTATTTCTACAGCCACATGGATTCTGGAAGCAGTCTTTAGAACTACAGTTTAAAATATCCCTTCCCTCATCATCTGCTTATATATTAGAGATTCTTTTCACTGAGAATTTTCTTATAATCACAGCAGGCCATTTTCTTCATAATTTAGTCCACTTTTGGAAGAATTTCTATTATTTTCAGAAAAATGTCATTTCATGTTAGATTAAATTTCTCCTGTTGAACATTTCATGTTAGATTTCCGATTCAGTTTTCAAATAGTCTCAGCTCCCCTATTCTTCCACCTCAGGCACCTTAAAATTCTCGGTTTATAATAAAACAAGGTCTACGTATTCATGAAGTTCCCTTGCTTTATGAGATATTCATGTTACCAATAGCCTACTCTGCCCTGCAGGTGATGCACAGGCCTGACATCTGTAATGAAATGTTTGGCTACAGTAGTGCCACTGTGCAAAAAAATGATCTGCCTCCAGCGTTCACATCTTCACAACTACTTGGTCGGAAGTTCCTTCCCCTGGTAAAATATGAACAGCGTTTGATATATTCTGTATGTATTGCCTTTATGTTGACCAATGATAAACTGTTGTTTATCTTCATAATTTTTCATCTTCATAGAAATGTAACATTATTCCCCGACCACATCCTAAATTCCTTGACTCATGGTTCTGTTTGAATTACCATCTGTTGATTTTCTTACTCAAGCTGAGATCACCTGAAGGCTTTCTGCAAAGCAGCTCTGGAGGATGTGTCTCGCTAATTAAGTAGAACACGGTGTTTCAGAATTTCTCCTGTTTCTTTAGATCACTTGTGAAAATAGTAAAGGTCACGTACTGAGAAGCCAGACAATCTCAAGATGGATATCAGACTGAAATAAGGTAAAGTAACAGAAAGCTAAACTTAAATTCTGAGGAATATCTTATGTTTGATTAGGAACTGGGTGGTGCCAATAAGCTTTACCTAAGACATTTCACTAGCTATTAACTGGAACAGCACACAGGCTTTTGCAAGCTTACTTCTGTTTAGTCATCCCATTTGGATGTGTAATTTAACTAAAACTTACAATCTTTAACAAAAAAAAAATAACAAAATCAGAATTTTCATTTTATCTGAAATTCACTCTCCATTTTTGACTGACCTGAAAGTCACTTCAAATAGAAAATGCACAAAGAAGGGAAAAAAAAGTAATTTGCTATAACTGAAGAGCTGCTTCCTGTGCATGTTTCACGTACTCACCTTGTTTCCAATACCACCGTCGTGCCTTCTAATAGGATTAAGTAATGAAAGAACTCAGGATTAGCTGACTGCCTCTTTATATATAACAGAAGGCCTAAAGATTTGGTGGGAGTAACTGTAAACAATCAATGGCATGAAGTGTTTTCATCTGCACCAGATGAACCAGAATTTAAATTAGAAAAATTCCAGTTACTCACATGTGTGTTCCTTATTCCTGAACTAAGAATAGATTGTTTCCAACAGTGACTGGGAGAAAAACATAGAATGGGAGCTGCAAAGTTTGGACACTATGGTGATGAAAAAGATGTGATATTACAGTAGTAATAATTGAGCATATTGTTCTAATACCTGATTATTATTTTTTAAATAAAAATATACATATTTTTTTATTTAATCATCCCTGTATCCTTGTATATTGTCACAAAACAATATTGAAACAGCATGCTAAACAACTTGTTTCTCTTTGAAATTTATCAGGCTAATGTTTACTTTCAGGTAGCTTCTTCTCCTTTTTAGCACTCTGCTGTAATCTACAAGTTGGCCCTTGGTCAGTGTAAGGACATGCAGCACATCTCAAGCTGGGTTTTAATACTCAGGCATAAAATCTGAAACAGCAGGCAGCTCCAAAAGGATCGTGTTCCAGAGTAAACAACTGTTGGTCCATAACTAACTAGTTAACCCTACCTATTGTGCTGTCCTGTCCCTTGCTACATTATGCCACTCAAAGCATCCCAGAAGTACTTAGACTTTGACCATGACTTGTAAACTAAAGTTATATGCTTACATGGTTGTTTCTTCAACCTGTTCAAAACGGTATATATAATTTTAAGCATAAAACTGGTGTTTAAATCTCAGTATTAAATGCTCGATTCACAAAACAGACTGTTACGGGTGCTCTACATAAAGCATTAACTAAGTTTAAAATACACAGCCTGCATTTGCAGAAGGAAGCCCTGACTCTGAATGACTTCTATGCATATGTTACAATTCAGTGTCTTCTCGATTTTATTTAAACCAGAAGACAAGTAGACTATCAAATAAAGAATATCTGCTTCTTGATTTTTGAACCATGTGCAAGGTAACGTTTTCTTAAATACATAAAATATTAAGAACTTACCTAAGGATGGTGCTATCCAATAGACTAGTGAATAAATCAAAAAATTGTCATAGAAACATTTTGGATGTAATGAAAAAGCCAATGCTGGGTTAAATATTGCTCCTGTGAGATTTCCACCTGAAACAAAATATAAACAGTATGAAATTAAACCATCTTGCTTAATACCTACTTCCAAATGCAATACTGAAACACACCTACACACCTACTGCAAGAAACACATACCCTGCAATAAAATACATTAGCAGAAACCACTTGAACAGATGAACAGTTCTGCACAGCTTTTTTTCTTTTTTAAACAGATGACACACGATTAACTTATTAACAGTTTCCTAAAATGTATTTTAAAATACCCAAAGTATAGGCTACAGCTTCCTTTATCTCTTCATCACAAATATTGTGTGAAGATATGGGTTTGGTTCATGCTAAATGTTTCTGTTGACATAACTATAATCTGTCTTGCATCACAGTTTTAGGGCAGAAATTACACAAATGTCAGCAAACAAATACTGAACTTTTATTAAATCCTCTTGTCTCGTCTAACATATATGCAAGATAATCAAGAAAACTGTCAAGTGCTGTTCTTGCTAAGCTGACTTGTATATTTTTGAACAGAACACTGTTATCACATTGATTTATTGAACTCTAGGGTTATCTCAGGGCAATAACAAGGGAAAAGCCTTCACATTCATTCTATGTTATTTGAAGAAACTAAAAGCAAACCCCTCTCATTCTCTTACAAGAAGTTTAAAGAATCTGAACATCTTTCCTTTCCTCTGGCTTTAGATGTAAATGAACTTGCCTCAACATTTTCTAAATGATATCCAAACATATTACATTGTGGGGACTAAGTTACAATTACCCTGAGACGAGCTGGGAGGTGTTTTTAATTCTGATATGATTTGGTCTCCTCATTGCAACCCTGCTGAAAAAGCACTGCTCGTTAAAAAGCTCTCTATGTGGTACTATTATTTACTAGCTGCCTCATATTTGTTCTATTAATTTATTCCTGCACCGTAGTGTGTAATTGTATCTATTTAGTTTCTTAAAACATATTTGTGATTTTCCTAGGCCAAATAAGCTGGCACGAGCTTTGACCTTGCCCTTTGTACACACACCATGCTGCTGTAATCCTCGTTTGTCATGAATGCAATCATTTACCAGAAGTTTTAGTAAGGTCTTTCTCCTTCTCTTCTGTATTTCTCTCTATATATACTCCTCCTCCTTTCTTTTACCACTATTGCAGCTTGGAAAGGTTTTGATCTTTGCTGACCAATTCAGTTTCCTATGATTTGACAACAGCAACTCCTACTTACTGTGAAGTCTTACTTTGCACATTGACACACGAACAAATTCCACCGTGGCCTGGAACATCTATCTAACATAATTTACTTCACTTTAGTCTGTTTACAGACTCACAGCTCCTGCTTTTGTATCCACAAACACACATTTAAGAGCAGAATTTCACTCTCAAGAGGCAGATGCTGTTCCAGAATAGATATTAAACATAAGATTTAACTGCTACTTCTTCAGTACTAGGAACTGCTGGAATATAAACCACAGGACAGGGGCACTTGTATTATCATGTTTAAAAATATTTGTTAGATTAAAACGTCCTTTGGTAGCACACTACATTCAAAACATGGAAGAATGGTAAAGCGTGATAGGAAACGCAAAGCTGCACCTCAGAGTCTGTGTACTAGAAAGGATAAATCATTTGATGGCAAAAAGTAGTGTAGGATCTTTGATACTGCATGCATGAAAACCTAAAAATGTGAGGTAGTGAGTGCTCTGCACAATGACTGAGAAAGTAATTTTAACTTGTAAGATTACTAAAAGCAAGAAAACAAAATTAGGGAGAAATGTAGAATTAAAAATACACTCATCCTTTTTTTCCTCAGTATGTTAGGCTCAAAAATATCTTACTAGTTTTATTCAACTCACTGTAATATTGCCTGTAAATAAAAAGCTCTCAAAAGGTGGATTTTTTTCTGCCCCTAATAAATATTTTCCCAAAAGAAATATCTGAATGTTCTTTACCAGCATATGTATGGTCTGCATCCTCAGCTTCTGAATCATTCCTTTAATATTTATAGGCACAACCTTCTCTTTCTCATTTTTTTGTAGAAGAAACAAAATGAATGCAGTATCGGAGGTTTTATTTCTTTTTCTTTCGTACAAATATCTGCTATTATAAAAATTTGGCCAGTGTAAGACAGAATGTAAAAAAAAAATCTGAATGTTTTTCCCTGAAAAAGTAGAAGAAATGCTAAAGGAACAGCCTGTAATTTTGAAAACACTTACGACATAACTTGATGTTATTTGTTGGAGTAAGCTGCATGCTTTACCTAAGTAACTTTCTTGGGCACACAGAGTGACCTAACAACACTTACTTTTTTTCCATCAATCTAACTCAGTCAACTGTAAAAAAAGACCATTTTAATGGTTTTTAGCCCTGCACATGTATCAACAAATGTAGATGGGTATAAGCCACAGAGATATGGTTAAACTTTAACATTCTATCCAAACCAAATTTAATATGAGTATGAGATACTCCTTAGTGTCCCTTTTTAGGGATCATTTAGGATCATTCCTCTTTGGGATATAGCTTTTAAACATGCAGTAGAAGGTAACTGATGTGCTGAAATGTGATATACTGTGTTTGAGATGTATTTTCTAACATTTCTGATTCATTGACAACTGTAATAAATGCAGGTCCTGGAGGCACAATCAGCGTGCAAAGAAACCACTAGCACGGATTTTATTTTCTAACTGAATGCACCTTTCAGAGTTTCTAGCCAAAACACTGGATCTTTCAAATTAAAGATTGAAATAGCATTATTCACACAATATTATAGCTGTTTGATACTTGTTGGGTAAAGTAGGGGTGTTACCAGTTTCCCTAAATCTGGTGCTCACCCTTTGGTGCTGGGTGAGCAAGAAAGATCCATCCCTTTTACAGAAGTGCTCAAATTCTTCACAAAGAGTTAATGAAGAGGCGCAGATGATTTCCTGAGAATGATTAGCCCAGCTACATTAGGATCTGCCTGTCTTCAAACCCTGTGCACCAGCACTTGGCCACTACCTTAATGACCAGTTTGGAAGGTGTTCAGTTTTCCTTCCGTGTGGTAAAAGCACTCTTCTCAGCACAGAAAAGCAACGCTTCTCTCAGCACTCTGGGGTGAATGTTTCATTCCATGATGGTAAGGATCTGTTCCAAGCCTCTCACCCCATCACAGAAAGGTGTTCACAGCAGCAGCCTGCTCCCACACTTGTTGGGATACCTCAGGGGCAGGAATCTTGGCTCTTACGCCCACTGCTACTTAAAGATGCTTCAACCCTCCCTTAGGAGCGCACAGTAATTAGCAGGCTTGTTCCTGATGCAGGGGCAGGATGGCATTCTCACCTTTTCTTTGTGATCCAAGCATACACCAAGGAGTGCAAACCCTAGGAAGTGTGGAGCAGGGGGAACAAGAAAGAATTAGTACATTTTCCACTAGGGAGAGGATAAAACTAGGTTCTGGATCTGCTCCCTGGAATGTTTTTTTTTTGTTTTTTTTTTAAATAGCCTTGATTTTCAATTCAGGTATAGTGGAAAGAAAAACATCCAGGTTGCACAAAGCATTCTGCACACGATACAGCACAAACTGCCTGGGAAACAGGCCTGGGCACTGCAGGTTTGATATTTCCTAGAAATACACGCAGACTGACTGCCCTGGATAGTCACAACAAGTCCAAGTTTATGACAAGAAGCCAACTTGGTAGGCAGCTTTCTCCTGCTAGAAAGAGATGGCTCGGCCAGGAGCACTGGGCACGAATTCCCTGCATGAACTAGCTGAGGGAAAAGCAGCGTGACACGTATTATTTTACAGGAATATGTGCTAAGCAGCAAAGGAATGTTAAGAAATCAGTAATCCAGGTTTCCTGGCTTGTAGGAGAGGTGCTATAATCTTTGGCTACACTTCTACCAACCCGTTCAGAAATAACACCTGGTGTGCCAAAACGCAGTGACACCTCGCTTCTGCCTTCAAAGATTAATTTGAGAAAGTGGTTCAAATCACTAATTATCAAAATTATCCACGGAGTAAAATCTTTCCGCTATTATGATTTCAGCTAAATGTAATGAGTGAGGCTTTTTTCATTAATGCATCTGAAAATTTGGCTCTATTTTCATCCTGCTGTGTTAGGGAGCATAATTCACCTCAGCCTTTTGGACAAGAGCTCAGTACCACTGCAGATACCTGCAGCTACGGCAGCAATCTCCTCTCAGAAATCATTCCCTGCACGACTTCCTCTGAAGCTGCAGCTTGAGCTGGGGCAAGCAGCTCCGTGACCACCTCTCCCTCAGCTCCCTGCACCCTGAAGTACAGAGGCTCCTTCCCAGGACAAGCTGCTCCCTGCCAAGCAGCCCTCAAGTGACAAAGCTGTCACCTCGCTGGGGAGCACAAGGAGCACGAGGAACCAGCACAAACATTCACACTGCCTCTCTGCAGCTCTTCCTTCCCAGCCACCCAGGAAGGCTGTGCAGGTGGCTGTCCCAGCTCTGGGAGGCCAGAGGTGACCCAGAGGCAAAAGCAAGGACAGGGCAGAATACAGAGACATGAGATCTGGAGGTGCCCTGATATAAAAAGCACCTTTTTTTTCTTTTAAACATGTGGTTTCATGAGTACTTCGAATCATGCGACACTATTTGCTCATCCTGCATGCATTCCATAAATATCCCTTCCTGCTTCTGACGTCCAGATTTAACAGTTAACCAGAATAAACTGCACTGATATGCATTATGCATTTAAATGCAGAACATCCATCCCGCAGGTCTGCACAATCAGGGATTTTCTCCTGAGGCAGGCAGCCGTGCTGTCTCACAACGCCTCTCGGAAATCACTTTGTGGCACACACTGCATGAAATCTCGCACTCGGTATCAAATTGCATTATGAAACAATCCTTCACTGAGATATTTTCAAAGTGATCCGGTGTCTCTTAACCACATTCACTTGTAGATTTAACGTTGCTTTGAATGCACAGCTCACTTCGTTCTGAACGCCACACCTGCAGGAGAATCTAACCAGGCAAACTTTGTATGAACTCCAAATGAACTCAGCGTTTGTAGGATCAAATACTTTTCTACGAGGCTTTTTAAATAAAAATAATTTTGCTTCTCACAATTTTTAAGTTACAACTCGATTGCAGTAACGGAGAAAAAAGGACTGACCTGCATACACGAGCATGGTGATGAGAAGAGCGATCAAATGGACTCGGTAGCTGGGCTTAACAGCTTCCACTTGCAGGATGGTCAGCTGGAAAACGACCGAGAAGAGCAGTTCTATGCAGAAAGCCTGCACCTCTGTAGTCTGCATGGGGTTGCTGCAGCCTTGCGAGAGTGCTCCAGGATGTGCCTCTGCAATCCCCAGCCTCCAGACGAAGTGCATAAAAACTCTAGCGAGCGTGGCGGCCACGAACTGAGCCCCGATCTTCAGCCCACCCGCCTTGAGTGATGTCCCACCACCCCAGAGGGGCTGCAAGACGCCGCAGGGATTGCACGTGCTGCCGGTCAGCGTCGAGCCGTGCAGGACGGTGAAACCGTAGGTGAGTGTGAGTGCCGTGTGAGGCTTGGGCTCCACGTTGCCGAGCAGGCAGAGCTCGTTCGTGCACGCACACACCTGGAAGGTGCTGAAAGCCTCCAGGAGGAAGGAGCAGAGGTGTGGGTGGGCGTGCAGGCGGCGGCGAACCAGGCTCCTGCACAATCCCACCGCCGCCACGACGCCTGCCATCAGCAGCAGCGACGGCCAGATGCCACCGATGGCCATGGCGAGACGGAGAGGAGACTTTCACAGGGCAGCAGGACTCACAAGGGAAGCGCTGGCTCCGCTCCAGCCCCACCAAAACCTACGAGGAGAAAAAAAAAGAGGGAAAGGGAGGGCAGATGGAAGCGCTCAGCCCCTGAAAGAAGAAAAGCTGCTTCTTTTCCAACCTGCCCACAGCCTGCCAGGTGGCAGGTTCCCCCTCAGCCTGACAGGGGTGCAGGCTGAGGGGGGTGCTGGCCCTGGAAACCCTGTCCCTGAGGAGGGCAGGAGCCCCCCTTGGGCCTGCGGGGCCCCCTCAGGCGAGGCGGGACAGGGGGAGCATGAGGACGAGCAGGGGCAAACCCCTCTCTACCACCCCCGAGGAAAAAAAAATACCGAGCTCATTACCCCTTCTCAGCCCTTGACCGGTTTAGGGAGAGCGCGAAGAGGCGCAAAACGGTTAAAAAAAATACAAATAAATAAATTAAAAGATCCCTTCCCACACGGCGCGGCGAGGACCGGCGGCGCCCGCTGCCCTCGCCTCACGGCCGCCGGCGGCGGCACTGCGCATGCGCAGCGAGCCAGGCTGCGCGGGGGGGGGGGGCGCGGGGGGGGTGAAATGGGAGGGGGGCGCGTGCGGGGCGCGTTCCCGCGCGCGGGCTGCGGGTGAGGGGAGCTGAGGGGGTCCCGGGCTCGGTCGTGGCCCTGGTCCCTTCTTGTCGCTTTTCCCTCATGTATAAGTGTTCCCGGCGAGGCTTGTCCCCCCTCGGTGTTTGGAATAAAGGAAAATAAAAATGGAAATGTGTCTGGTGGTCGCTGGGGAGGGAAGGGGGAGGGTTGAGTGAGGGGTGTTAAGGGGCTGGTGGTGGTCTCTGGTAGGGTGGGGGGTTAATGTGGTTTCACATATCCCTGGGACTTGTGTGTGAGCTGCAGGTGTGTGTGTGGCAGGTGTGTTAAAATAAGAGTCATTAAGGTTGGAAAAGACCTCTAGGATCATCTGGTCCAACCATCCCACCACCACCACCAACAACAACCAAACCCTGTCCCCAAGCACCACGTCCAACCTCTCCTTGAACACCCCCAGGGACGGGGACTCCCCCACCTCCCTGGGCAACCCGTCCCAAGGCCTGACCGCTCTTGCTGAGCAGAAATGTCTCCTCATTGCCAACCTGAGCCTCCCCTGGCACAACTCGAGGCCGTTCCCTCTGCTCCTGGCCCTGGTTCCCTGTGAGCAGAGGCCGCCCCCCAGCTCCCCACCCCTTCCTTTCAGGCAGTTGCAGAGAGCAATAAGCTCTGCCCTGAGCCTCCTCTTCTCCAGCCCAAACCCCCCCAGGTCCCTCAGCCACTCCTCATTAAGGTTGAAGAAGCCCTCCAAGATCATCTGGTCCAACCATCCCCCTAGCACCACTATCACCCACCAAGCCATGTCCCAAAGCACCACGTCCAAGACAGAATCATTAAGGTTGGAAAAGACCAACAAAATGGTTGTGTTAACATAATCTCCTCCTTTTCTGCTGCTTGCTGGGAGAAGAACCTTTGACAGGGTGCCAGAAGAAGACTGGAGGCAGTATGTGGGCGTCTCCAGTAGAAGTAAAACTAAAAATAGGTGTTGTCCTCATGCTGCAGGAGGTGGCAAGGTTGACTTTCAGGGCAGGCCCAGAATGGCCTCAGATGGCCTGGAGAAACTGAGATTTCCTCCTTTACAATGTGTTTGTTTCTAGTGACTGAGAAGGAAGAGCCCACTGTGAGGTAATTGGCATAAGTGCGTCCTGTTGCTCTGAGGCTGGAGCTGAGCTTTCCTTCAATCTCTACCCGTGCTGCTAATTTACAGCTGTGTGGCTGGGAGTGGTCGTTCCCCTTTCTGTGAATGTTTTGCGGTGGAGAGAGAGAAATATTTGTGGGGCTTCTGAGCGCACAAATGGCTGTGCCGTGTGTCCTTTAACATACATCTTAAATTTCCGCCACGTGGAAAGAATAAAAGTGCATTTTTCTCCCTTCCCACCTCCCTGTCACTGGTGTCGCAATTCTAGGAGCGGCGAAATCTTGCTTTTGTGAACTGTAAAACCGAAGCAGTGCTGACAACGATTGCCACTACAGTAAGCACACCTGCCAAAAGAGGCAAGTGTAAAGTGTTTCTAGGATCCAGTGTTCGTACCACGAGGTGGCACCAAAGATGATAACTTATCAGACCTTGTAGCAATGACTTTTGACCGATCAGGATCTGCACGACTGCATTTCTTGCAAGAAAGCAATACACAAATATACTGCTTCCAAGTAACAAAAGTGAACCCGTACTTTTAGTTGAAGGTCAGTCTACCGTAGAAATCAAAGTTGCAAAATACAGAACCATTTCTCTTAGAGGGCGTGACGTGATGAACCAATTCTTCCTTGTTTTCAGAAATGTAGGACCACTGAGACATCTGATCTTACGAGGTTTGGGGATAGAGGAGCATTTAGGAGGCTCAGCTTCTAAAAGGATCATTCGGCTGTGAGAAATAGGGATGTTTTTAACAGCAGGGAAACAACAACAAAACACAACAGTTGAAAAGTGATAACGTAAAGAAAGGAAATGAATAAATGGTGGAGTCGTTAATATTTGGCCTTTATTGTTTTTACAAGATTAGATGTCAAGAAATGTGAGGCAAGGCAGGAGACGTAATGACTGCAATAGCCTTATATAAGTCCTGAAGCAACTTCATGGAAAAGCAGTTGATTTTCTCAGCAGCAGCCTTCTGTATCCTAAAACTGTAATATTGAAGAAAAAAAAAGAAAAAAAAAGAAAAAAAAGAAAAAGTTATATCCTTTATGGGTAGATTTTGGAAGAAATTAAGGCATGTCCTGCTAGAAGTAAGGACCAAAATAATGACATTGCCATTTTTTAGGTGGGAGCTACTGCTTTAGGCAACAGGGCTCACTGCTAAGAGGTGATGGTTGAAGGAACACTTGTTAATTCCCAAGGCCTAAAAAGCGATTGTCCTAATAATACTGAGCGATATCAGCACCTGAAAATGACATACTGCCCCAGCCTGTATCGAAACTTCCCCCTGCAACTTTGAAACGCCACTTTCCTTATGCTCCAGACACAAAATTGTGGGGAACAATTTCAGTCTCCAGGCTGCAGGTTGCCAGAGAACATGCAAATTATTGCCAGACTGCTTCGGAGCCTCAGACAATTGCTTGTATAAGGGGTCAAACAAGTCAGTTTCCTGCTGGACCAACTCCAAGCAATTGTACCCCCCTGGTATACTAAAAGGGTGTTTTTGTGGGACCACCAGATGGCAGTGTCATTCCAAGCAACAGCTTTGGTGTGCACCCACAGCAGTTTTATTTCGTGTTCTTACCACCGCTAGGTGAGAGTAAGGACCTTCTAGATCCAGGTGCAAGCCCTTGAGTTTGTCATTTGTAAAAGTGCATGTTCATATCTGGAATGTATTTTTAAGTTCGTTTTAAAATTGATCATTCAGTTTCTGAATGATCTGAATGGGTTTCGCTCATCGTTTTCTTCTTCCCTGTGGCATGGCTGGCTCCGAATCTGATTCCAGGTCCTCTTTGTGTCTTCTCTGTCCTCTCCTCCACACACCAGCTTTCCCTTCTGCTCCTGCCTGCCCTGTACCAGAATTTTTGTAGTTTCCATTTTCTCTGATAATCTCCATTTCCTCCCCATTTCAGTCACTCCGCATCCTTGTCTCCCATTTTCCTTTCCATGCATACCAGTCCTTGTATTTTCTTATTTGTGTCTTCTTACGTTCCTTCTCAAGCCCCGTATTTTCTGCTATTTCTGTAGATGTTATGCAGTTAACTGCTCTTAGCTCTGTATATGGTCTGTTCTCTTCCTTCCTAAAATTCCCTGATCTGCTTCCTTTTCCTATGGGAGACTGAGTCACTCAGGGTACGAACAAGTCACAAATTCTTGGATGGATTTTGCAGGGGCAGGAAGGCAGGAAGATGTTGGCAACCACTTTCATCTCAATCAACCAGTCCAGCTAACTATACAGCAGGGAATTCACGTGCCCCTGTGTTCTCTGTTGTGGTTCGGTGGGTTTCCCCCTGAATCAGTAGCTTTCTCTCAACATTTAAAACCTCCCTGGGAACTGACAGAGAAGGTAGAAGTAGTCAGAGTGCCTCCAAACAAAAACAAAACAAAACAAAACAAAACAAACAAAAAAAAAAAAACATGAGCAGAAGCCCTGGCAAACCTGAGCACAGCTTTGCCACAGCTTTTCTTAACAAAAGGCTATATTTTTGGGATGTTACCCCTTTCCAGTTGCTTTTCACAAGGCTGCTCCAGCAGCCTAAGAGCCAGGGATGATGACATCGGGGGAGTTGGTTGATGACTGTGAGCTTTGAGCAATTTCCAAGAGTTACTGGGGCAGGAAATGCCACGGCATATGCCTGTGCTGGCTGACTGTAGGGGCCCAGCGAGGATATTGGCACAATTCAAGGTGTGAAAAATGCAAGGGTTCTTCAAAGCTCTGCCAAAACTGGCTTCATGGATGTTCCTGAGCATCACGGTTTGAGCCTGGGCCAAAGAGCAGTGTCCAGAAATGCTCTGGGGCATGGTTTGGGAGATCGGGGGGGTCCATCCCCACTAGGCAGGTTGTGTGCTTTCAGTGTCTTTGGGAGGCTTTAGGAAAATGGGCACTGGGAGATCCAGTTCTGATGCCACTGAGATGGCCTCAGGGACAGAGAATGGTCCCAGGCTCATTTAATTCACTGATGTGGGTATAATCACAGTGAGTACACGTTTGGATGAGTACTACCTCTACTTTCTGTTTTCTCATGCTGTTAGCTTTGCTGGGAAGCCCTTTTTCCCCAAAAATACAACGAGCAATGTTATTTGACTGATTAGCTGAGAAAAGAAGTCTTCAAACCCACCGTCACCTTGCCTTCATTATCTCTGATGCAACAAAATATATACAAACTCATACACCCAAAATCATTATTCTGTAATAGACATCATTTTTGACATTATACAAAAATAGATATTTTGCTGTCGAAGTATACCTGTATTACTGCAGTACTGCGTGTGGATTTAGGATTTTAAAAGAAAATCGTGAATAGGACTGGAGCAAAAATGGATTATTTGTAATTAAATGAGGACATGAAGCCAGGCACTGATGGCAAAAGACCCTTAAATTCACTGCTGCTGCCAGGGCTCACGATTTTCTTACAGGTGCCACAATATTTCTCCTTTTTGCATAAGACCCAGATCCTGAGTACAAGTGTTTATATCTTTCAGGTTTCATTTTAAAATAGAAGGATCCAACTTTCCTGGATTTGAAGTCTAGCTAGTGAGCATAATCCAAAAGGCTAAAAACTAAAACTAACAAGAAGGTAAGTGCAGAGAAAAAAAAAAAAATAAGTTCTGGAAAAAAAAAAAAAAGGAAAAAAAAAAAAGACTTTTTTTTTTTTTTTTTAAGTCCATTGCTGTTTTTCTATTTTTTTTCCCTAGATCCTCACGCCTAAGTGTGGATATTTGGCTGAAATACCTCCTGACTAGAGCTAGCGAGGATGTGTCACGACCTCTTGCAAGGTTGGATTTTTCCAGAATGCAATGAGACCAATTCTCAC